TTTACAAGGAGGGAAAACAGTACACCTCTCTGAACAGTGTCTGGGAGGTTGTGGTTGCTGCTGCACGCAATGTTGATGGTGAACAGATCAAAACACTGACAGAATCCATGGATGGCAGGCTTTTGAGTGTCCTTGCAAAGAAAGGTGGCTATATTGGTCACTGATTTGTTTTTGTTTTGTTTTTGAATGTCAGAAATGTATATTTGTGAATGTTGAGATGTTATATTGGTTTCACTGGTAATAATAAATAATTGAAATGGGTATATATTTGTTTTTTGTTAAGTTGCCTAATAATTATGCACAGTAATAGTCACCTGCACACACAGATATCCCCCTAACATAGCTATAACTAAAAACAAACTAAAAACTACTTCCAAAAATATTCAGCTTTGATATTAATGAGTTTTTTGGGTTCATTGAGAACATGGTTGTTGTTCAATAATAAAATTAATCCTCAAAAATACAACTTGCCTAATAATTCTGCACTCCCTGTATATATGTCTTGTATTAAAGCCATATAAATGCTAATAATAATATTTATAATAAATAAAATGAATATCCGCTGTCAAGAATTATCATGGATATCATGATATCAGTCACATGGCATTAAGATCCATTGTCCGTTCAAAACCACATTATGTAGAATGTTGTTAACACTCCAATCAGTTTCTTCAGGTTATGTTGATTCAATCAAATTGTTAGTTGGGCCATACTAAAAGGCAATAGGTGTAATTATGTAAATAAAGTTCCAAATTATAACCTCTCTGAAACTGGAATTTTATTTATAGTCATAAAACAAGTAATAATTCAAATACAAAAAGGATCAACAAAAGGTTAGGTCATGGATAAATAAGTATAGAGTATTCCAGATCTAACCTTTAGTTAAGACAACTCTAGTAAGGTAATCTTAATTAAAAATAACATTTAATAAATTTAGGTTAAACGTACTATATATACACATACTCAGTAAAGGGGAGAGGCGATTAGGACCATATGATACTTGCTGAAGTAGTTATAGTACCTTTACCCCTACCTTTATCTTTATTCTAAGTAATAATTCAAATTCAATACATTTTCCATGTTACCATACTAATGTCTCTAAATTCCTTCTGACACATCTGGTGGGGTTATTCACAAAGCTGGAGATGACCAAATTCCATTGTCAATTCTCATGTTTCACTAAAGTCAAATGCGGACATTTACCGTATACAGTTGTAGGTGCGGTTTAAGTAACAAAAAGACTTATACCAATAAGTGGAGCGCTCCAACACATATACAGCTTACCAAATGATATTCCACTCAATGGTAAAGTATAAGGTACATGTAAAGGAAAAAAATACAAGAAAGAACAATATAGTGCAGACGGTATTTCCAATATCAATTAAACTGTGATAGTGGTATTAAAATGAATTAAACACTCACATTTTAAGGAGCCTGTATATAAAAAACACTGGCTCCGTATTATGGCTTGTGTGCTTATTAGGGTAGCACCACCCGTCTCCTTCAGTATTTGATGATTCTCGAAGACAAAAACAGGATAAACGAACCAATGTGTATATATTGCTTCTGGTAACACAATATTATGTAAGTAAATGGTGTGCTCACCTGGTCCTGAGCCTGTGGGTCCCGGCTCTAGGTATATAGGTATTGTGCCAGTTTGAATGGGGATGGCACTACCCCTGGAAGATTCTCTTGAGGCTCCAAAAGGACGTAAACAGGGGTCTTAAATAAAATTAGTAAATTTATTAAAGTATAAAAAACAAGTAAAAAATCAAATAAAAACAATGGGTATAAAAAGTCCTTAGTAAAAAGTCCTTTGTAGATAGCCAATACGCGTTTCACTCCTTTGTGGAGCTTCCTCAGTCAGCTGTGGTGTTAGTCCTTTGAATCTTCCATTTTAAGTGTTTTTTGGGGGCCTCCCCTTTAGTGAGTTCAATCCATACTGGCCAATCACAATGAAGTTTACATTTCCTTTATGCAGTGAATTGTGTATATATCCCTTTAATAGGGTTAGACTTCTGGCGCCTTTATTGCGTATAAATTTCATTGGTGGCCTGTGGTGCTTGGTGGAAGTAATCCGCGTAAGTCCGGGCGGTTGGCGGAAGTGACGTCACAGACCCATGTGATCGCCACTTCGCCGCCGCCCGGAAGTTCCCCGGCACCCCGGTCACGTGGTACATCATACTCGCGTGTATGCCGGGGGGGAGGAGTATGTAAAGATGGTCCATGAACACGTCGGCACGCCCCACCCTTCAGGCGTGCCGAGGTGGTCACGGACTCCTCCCTCTGCCCTTCAACTGTTAGATGCCGTGTGTGCTGAACACACACGGAACTTAGGCTGAGAGGGATCACTGAAAATGAATAAATACACACCATAGTGGCTAAGTGCATAAAAAATGCAGATCAACAGAAAGAGAAATTATTATTGTGGTACCATAAGTGGTATCCTTAATTATATGTTATAAGACCAGAGTGGTTTGTGATACTTATTTTCAAAGTGCAATGTGCTTATAAGTGACAAGTACATAATATATATATTATGTACATTTATATGATTTGAGTGGTATTCATAAGGGAATCAATATAAAAAAGAAAAAAATTGATTATAGAAAAATTAAAATTAAAATAGCTCCATTAGATGTAAGTAATAATTAATAAGTATTATTTGGTAGATAAGAGTTTTATACATATTGTGAAGATAATAGATTTCAGATAAAGTGACAGAGCTCGAAGTCTATATTCAGACCTTGGGGTTTTAAAGTCCCAAGGTTGAATATCCACTTCATCTCGCTCTGTCCTAATAATTTCAAAAAGTCCCCTCCTGGCCAGTTTCCTTTTACCCTATGTATACCCATGAATTTGAGAAGTGTTGGGTCACTATCATGTGCTAGGGAAAAATGATGTGATACACTATGTCCTTCAAATTTTTTCTTAATATTTCTGGTGTGTTCTTCTATCCTAATGTGTAGCTTACGTTTAGTGCGACCTACATATTTCAGACCGCATGGACATTCCAATAAATATATTATATTATTTGAGTGACAGGTTATAAGATCTTTGATGTGGAATTCCTCCTTGTTGTTAAAATTTTTGAATTTTGTGATGTGTCTTTTTTTATTATTGGTATTCCGGCATGCTAGGCATGTACCACATCCATAGAAGCCTTTCTCTTTGTCTAAGAAAGTAGTGATTTTGTTGTTTTTTTTAAATGGTTTCTTACTAGGAGTCTATTTAGATTTGCGGCTCTCCTAAAAACTATTTTTGGTTTGGCTGGTAAAATCGGTGTTAAGGCATCGTCCTGTAATAGGATAGGCCAATGTTTATTTAGAATTTTTTTAAGTGCTCGGTTATTGTAACTATAGTTACATATTATGGGTAAATGTATTTGTTCTTCATTTTCTGTTATGTTTTTTTGTGTTAATAAAGTGCTTTGTGGAATTTTTGTAATTTGTGTTAAGGTGTCTTTTAATTTATCTTTTTCATAACCCTTCTCCAACAGGTCTGAAATTAATTTATCCGCTTGTTCTTTAAAGGTGACTTCATCTGTGCAGTTTCTTCTAATCCGTATGAGTTGTGACTTGGGTATGCTGTTAAGCCATGGGGAAAAATGACAACTCGAGGTGTGGATGAAGCTGTTTACATCCACATCTTTAAAATGAGTTTTAGTTTTGATCCTTTCATTATCTATAAAGATATCCAAATCTAAAAATGTCACTTTATGTTTACTAAAATTAGTTGATAAAATGATACCCCACTGATTATTATTAAGTTGATTTAAAAAAGTGTGGAGCGTGGCTTCAATGCCTTTCCAAATAAAAAACAGATCATCAATGTAATGGCGATGGGTCACCAGGCCCTCCACCCAGCCTTCATTATGTTGTAGGTGTTGGCATTCCCAATCCGCCATAAACAGATTGGCGTAGCTGGGTGCGAACCTAGTGCCCATCGCCGTGCCACATGCCTGTAGATAAAAAGTATCGTCGTACCAGAAGTAATTGCTGGTTAAAATCAGTGATATTGCTTCCATAATAAAATCAATTTGGTCGGATTCAAATGAGTGGGATTGTTCTAAGAAAAATTTGACTGCTGCGCATCCTTTCTGGTGTGAAATAATCGTATATAGTGAACTGACATCTGCAGTTACTAAGAAATAATCGTGTTCCCATTTGATGTTTTGTAGATGTCTAAGGATGCTTCCTGTATCTTTTAGGTAACTCGGAATGCTTTGCACTATGGGTTGGAGACACTTGTCCACATATTCCGAGAGCCTACATGATATTGAGTTGATACCTGAAACTATAGGTCTTCCGGGTGGAACTTCGGGATTTTTGTGCACCTTAGGGAGATAATAGAACACCGGAATCTTTGGATGGGTTATATTCAAGTAATCAAATTCTTTTTTGTTTAAAATCTCCTTCTGTAGGCCCCTCTCGATGAGGTCGGAAAATTTGTTTTTCATTTCGCCTGTTGGGTCACCCTTTAGCCTTGTGTACGTTGTTTGATCCGTTAATAATCTCATGCACTCTGTGTGATAGTCGTTAATGTCTAGGATGACTATTCCCCCTCCCTTATCTGCCGGTTTGATTACAATTTCATGGTCCTTCTGTAATTTTTTCAGAACCTTATATTCATCTCTTCTGAGATTTTGTTGATAATGGTTGGCTTTTTCAATTTGTTGATATCGGCCATTACCATTTTCTCATAGGTGGCCATTTCTCCTGAAATTAGATGTTTGGGGTAAAAAGTGGATTTTTCTTTTAATGTGGTGTGTGTATATTTTGTCGTAATTGGATTATTTGATACAGGGTGTTTTTGAAAAAACTTTTTAAGACATAGAGTGCGTTTAAATTTATTCAAATCAACATAAGTGTCAAATTTATTTAAATTCCTCGTGGGTGCAAATTTTAAACCTTTTTGTAGTAATTTAATGTGGGTTTGATCTAGTTGTGTGGAGGTGAGGTTGAAAATACCTGCTTCTTTTTCAATTTCCTTTTGTGTTCTTATGGGTTGCGTTTGTCTCTCTTTCCTTCTCTGTGTGTCCACTCCTCCTCTAATTCCCCTTCTTCCGTACTTTGTCGTTTGTTTGGTGATTTTTGGCGTGAGAGGAATTTGTGTTTGTCCTTGTTCCTCAAACTCCAAAAATCCTCCTCTTCTGAGGTTTTAGTAAGGGGGTCAAATCGGTTATGGGTGTGAATATCTGATATTCTTCTGGAATTGTATCTAAACTTACTTTGGGCTGTAAGAAATTCATCTGATTTGGCTCTTTTTTCTGTCTGAATGGGGGTTCTCATGTTCGATATATTGGACCTGAGATGGTTTTTTATGGAAGGTTTAGATTCTATTCTCTCATTAGTCTTACCTTTGTAATAATTCCTTGGCGGGCTTTCTCTTTGATTGTAATGGGTGTGGGTAGGACGTGGGTGATAGGAGTGATGTTTCTGTTGATCGTATGTGTTATAATGTGTATGTTGATTATTCGATTTGTTATTCCTGCCAAATGTTCTCACTTCATCACGTCTATAATCATTTTTATCACGTGTATATTTTCTCTTTTTTATTTGTATTGTTTCCTGTTCAACTTTGTCTGTAACATGTTGAATTTTGTCTGTAATTCTCCTATATTCTTCTGCATTTGTATGATTTATGAGAAAATTTTGTTCTTTATTTATTTCGGTGTCTAGTTTATCTAAAGTGAGTTTCCTTCTTGCTATGATTTTTTGCATCATAGTGAAAGAGAAAGAGTCTAACATAGTAGCCCAATCATCCATAAATATTTTATCCTCCTGATCAAATGAAGGGAATTTAAAGAATCTGAGGCCTCTTGGGGTAATTTTTTCTCGAATATATTTTTCTAGTGTTGCAATTTCCATTTAATTCTGGTTTCCTTACTTAATGTTCTTTCAAGTATTCTTTGACAATCAAATATGGATTTCTCTTCCATTCTGTCAATTTGGTGGAAGACAAGTTCTTCTCCAACGAATAATTCATCTATATTGGTACATTGTTTTTTCCTTTGTTCAAAAAGTGACATAATTACTCTATATACACACGAGGATATAAACAATATATGAATACCAGTCAAAGGTTACCTCCTTTTACAGAGGAGTGTGTATAAAAGAGTGGTCTAAACAATAGAGGTGATTTACAGGCAGCTCAGTACACTTGTGTGGAAATATCCTCTATTCCACAAGACAAAATTGTAGTTGTAGGTGCGGTATAAGTAACAAAAAGACTTATACCAATAAGTGGAGCGCTCCAACACATATACAGCTTACCAAATGATATTCCACTCAATGGTAAAGTATAAGGTACATGTAAAGGAAAAAAATACAAGAAAGAACAATATAGTGCAGACGGTATTTCCAATATCAATTAAACTGTGATAGTGGTATTAAAATGAATTAAACACTCACATTTTAAGGAGCCTGTATATAAAAAACACTGGCTCCGTATTATGGCTTGTGTGCTTGTTAGGGTAGCACCACCCGTCTCCTTCAGTATTTGATGATTCTCGAAGACAAAAACAGGATAAACGAACCAATGTGTAGATATTGCTTCTGGTAACACAATATTATGTAAGTAAATGGTGTGCTCACCTGGTCCTGAGCCTGTGGGTCCCGGCTCTAGGTATATAGGTATTGTGCCAGTTTGAATGGGGATGGCACTACCCCTGGAAGATTCTCTTGAGGCTCCAAAAGGACGTAAACAGGGGTCTTAAATAAAATTAGTAAATTTATTAAGGTATAAAAAACAAGTAAAAAATCAAATAAAAACAATGGGTATAAAAAGGGGTAGTGCCATCCCCATTCAAACTGGCAAGTATCTAGATGTTAAAATTAAAAATTTATTTTCTGTGCCCTATGTAATAAAGTTAAATCTATCATGAGGAAATAAAAAGTAATTTGGAATAAACTTTGTAAATGTATTTGAATTATTAAATATGAATTAGATATTTTATAGACATGATCAAAAACAAGAGCCAAGCAAGAGCACTTAACACTGGCCCTACTGCGCTACTTGTAGTGATCAAGTAGTTATTGTTGTCCAAAGTCATGCGTTTGATGTCTTCTTCATTTTTGGCTGGGTAAATGATGCCTAGGGGCTTTTCTTCCTTGGCTGCCTCTTTGTGAATCCAGTGAATATAGTTGGAAACCATGGAATAGATTCCTGGAGTCTTGGGCTGCCCACATCCTCTGCCCCAGCTGACAATTCCTACTTGGTACCAGTTGCTATTGGTGGAGGACTGGCAAACAAGTGGTCCTCCACTGTCACCCTGGCAACACCCAGGAGAAAAAAGAAAGAGGGAGAGCAAAATAAGAGAGACCGCAAAACCATGATACAAGGAACAATGGAAATTGATGGATGGCAGTGAAAAATGAAAGGTGTGATAATTAAATAATGTTTTAGGAAATTGTTTCTTATCACTTAATTCTCTGTTATAAAGAATTGAATATTTAAAGGAACAATCCAAGTACCATAATGACTACAGGGTGCTCTATAGATACAGTGCCAGCACAGGCCTTGGTCCCCCCCAGAGTAGTTGAACCATTTACTAAAGGTATGACAACATAACTGGGATCTACCGGGCAGTAGTCAATTCCTCAGTTGAGAGTTGTAAACTCCTGCATGGAGTTACCATTGGCTCTTCTGCACTAAACCCTGCTGTGTCGACTCTGTTCATTGTCTAATAGTGCCAGATCGTTGCTTTCAACCAATGATCTAAGCCCAGCACTGCCAGGCTTACTACAAAGCAGAGAACTTCTAGTTGTACTGAACAAGGAGACCTCCACCCAGAAAACCCTAGGTAAGTTGTGAAACTGTCAGCAAGTAGTGTGACTACTTACTTACGTGCCAGGGCACTTCTTGGCACCATAACAGCGACAGTGCACTGGAGTGGTTATGATGCATATATTGCTACTTATTTAAGGGAATCATTATTTATATCATCATACAATATATGATAAGTAGCAAATTATTATACTGAATATTATATGTTGTTATATTAGATATAAGGAATATATCAATTCATTTATTATTACAGTAGAGGGAATAACAGGTTAAAGGACCACTATAGTGCCAGGAAAACATACTCGTTTTCCTGGCACTATAGTGCCCTGAGGGTGCCCCCACCTTTAGGGTCCCACTCCCGTGGCGCTGAAGGGTGAGGAAGGGGTTAATCCCTTACCTTTTTTCCAGCGCCGGGCTCCCTCGACGCTGGGACTCTACTCCCTCTTCTTCTGTCATCGGGTGAATGCGCATGCGCTGCAAGAACCGCACGCGCATTCAGCCAGTCTCATAGGAAAGAATTATCAATGCTTTCCTATGGACGCTGGCATCTTCTCACTGTGAAAATCACAGTGAGAAGCACAGAAGCGCCTCTAGCGGCTGTCAGTGTGACAGCCACTAGAGGCTGGATTAACCCATAGGTAAACATAGCAGTTTCTGTGAAACTGCTATGTTTACTGCAAAAAGGGTTAAACCTAGCTGGACCTGGCACCCAGACCACTTCATTAAGCTGAAGTGGTCTGGGTGCCTATAGTGGTCCTTTAATCAATGGTATTACTATACATTCTATAAGGTTAAGGTATATGGGATAAGGTATTAATAGAGTATGTCATATATTATTATAGGATGAGAGAAAAAGGAAAATTGCAGTTTCCCATGGTGCTCTGCTATTCTGGCTGAGCATCATAAAGATGGAGTTTCCAGACATCTGGGATAACAAGGTTAGCACATTGGCCTTGGGGAATTAAAACCCTGTTTACTGTCCAGCAGAGCAAAACGCTTCCTAATATGAAGGTCTGGACATAATATGTCTTCATATATTCATATATCAATTTAAATTAATACACGGATAAGCCACAACACTAAAACTACCTGCCTAATAACGTATAGATCCACTTCATGCTGCCAAAACGATTCTGTTACATTAAGGCATGGACTCACAAGATCTCTGAACATGACCTGTGGTATCTGGCAACAAGACATTAGTAGTAGATCCTTTAAGTCCTTCAAGTTGCAAGGTGGGACCTCCATGGATAAAATTTGTTGTCCCTGCACATCCCATAGATGCTCAATTGGATTGAGAGCTAAGGAATTTGGAGGCCAAGGCAACACCTTAAATTTTTTGTCATGTTCCACAAACCATTCCTGAACAATTTGTTCAGCGTGACAGGGTGCATTATCCTACTAAAAGAGACCACTGCCAACAGGGAGCACCATTGCCATGAAGGGGTGTATATGGTCTGCACCAATGTATAGGAAGCTGGTAAATATCAAAGTAACATCCACAGGAATGCCAGGACCCAAAGTTTCCCAGTAGATCGTTGCTCAGAGCATAACACTGTCTCCACTGACCTACCTTCTTCCCATAGTTCATTATGCTGCCCACATACATCAATGAGTCTTGAGCACTCATTACCACAACGCAGGTTCACTGATTGTCCTTAAAGCACCACTATAGTCAGCATATAAAAGCAAGAAAGACAGGTACCCTAGCCTTCTTTCTTGCATTTATATTAGTTTGCCATTTAAAAAACAAAACAAAAAAAACATACCTTCGTTCCAGCTCCCAGATCCCCGACAGCCCGCGCCCCCTTTGCCCGCACCCCTCAAAATGCCGAAATAGCAGGGCTCAATCAGACGTCATAGAAGCGTCATAGCGATCTGGTGCACATGCATGGCTTTGCACTGCACCAATCGTGTTCTTCATAAAGCGGCATCGAATGCTGCCCTATGAAGGAACACTGAGTGCTCTACCGCACATGTGCGCAGTATGCGCATTCGCGAGCTGACTGCCAGCTCAGCTCGCTGTTTATGCCAGCCCCCCTCCTACCGCAACCCTCCTAAGCCAAACGTTTGTATGCAAACACTATAGAGACATTTCTATATATAGTGTGTGTATATACAAACACACACATTGTAAATAAATATTGTTAAACATACACACACACACTCCATCTCTATCTATCTAACCATTTCTATGTATCCATTTCTATCTCACTCTGTCTCACTCTCAATTTTTAAAATAAGTTTACTTACTGTTTGAATTCAGTAGATCCTCCTGTTCAGTCTCCTGCCTTCTGCCTTCAGCCCTAGCCCACACTGTGTGCAGGAGATCCTTATCTTCTACACTGTCGGCTCTGATTGCTAACAGGCTCCGGGTTACTACAGGACAGTGCCTCCTGTGTCCTGATAGCACGTTTGATGTCTTCAACCAAGCGTGAAGACGTCAAACGTGATGAATGCAAAGTATGCAACAGTTTACTCGGAAGTCCCTCTGGTGGTCGTCTGAGTGACTGCCACTGGAGGTGTTCCTAGCTTCCAAGGTAAACACTGTATTTTCTCATAAAATACAGTGTTTATATGAAAGGCTGCACGGAGCTATTGTACTCACCTAAATAAACCCCATTAAGCTGAAGTTGTCCATGTGACTATAGTGTCCCTTTAACTGCACCACTTATTGGGGGTACTAACCACTGCATACTGGGAACACCCCACAAGTGATCCTGTTGTCAAGCCATCACTATTTAGCTTTTGTCACATAAAATTCAAGAACTGACTGTCTACTTACTGCCTGATATACCCCCTTTGACTGGTACCATTATAACAATATAATCATTGTTATTAACTTCACCTGTCTTTCATTTTAGTATTGTGGCTGATCAGTGTATATCTTCCTTATATGAACATTTAGGTACAATAAGACTTCCTAATATGAATGTGTGGGTACACTGGTTAGGGCTAGTTGAATGAACACTAATACTATTTGTAAGAATGATGGGTCACCTGGCAGGCATCTCTTCCTCCCTCTTCAAACCCAGCACACAGCATGTTTTTAGTTAAGGGCCCCATCCACTTCCGACATTGCTCCCTGCTGAACAGGAGCATTTCTGATTTCTTTAGGACAGGTGGGACATGGGCATGACCTAGGAATCAAATTGCAGAATAGGGAATTAGCTGGAACAATCAGATAAAAAAAACACTACAGTAAAGTTTTTGGATTCCTGACCCATATCAGATAAAACCACACCCCCATAGAACTGTGCATCACATGTTAAACCATGTACTTAGACATTGGCAAGTATAAAGCAATTGCAGACTTTGCTAATGGCAGTATTACCATACTGCTAGAAGATACAGTTGTGCTCAAAAGTTTGCATACCCTGGAAGAAATTTTGAAATTTTGGTATTGATTTTGAATTAAATATTCTTCTGAAATACTTTGTTCTTTACATAGTAGAATGCGCGGACAACAAAATTACACTAAAAAAAAAAAAATGGAAATCAAATTTTTCAACCCATGGAGGTCTGGATTTGGAGTCACACTCAAAATTAAAGTGGAAAAACACACTACAGGCTGATCCAACTTTAATGGAAAATCATAGGCGTGCACAGCCTATTGTATAAGGGTGTGCACCATAAAGCAGAAACACACATGCCGCATTTATATATATATATATACATATATACACATACACATAAATACACACACACACTGCTGTGTGTGTGAGGGTGCTGTGTGTAGGTGCTGTGTGTGTGTGAAGGCACTGTGTGTGTAGGCGCTGTGTGTGTGGGCGCGCTGTGAGTGTGAAGGCGATCTGTGTGTGAAGGTGCTGTGTGTGTAAGGGTGCTGTTAGTGTGTGCTGTGTGTGTGTGTGTATCTGTAAGGGTGCTGTTAGTGTGTGAGGGTGCTGTGTGTGCAAGGGTGCTGTTAGTGTGTGTTTTGTGTGTGTGGGTGAGGGTGCTGTGTGTGTAAGGGTGCTGTGTGTGTGAGGGTGATGTTAGTGTGTGTATGTGTAAGGGTGCTGTTAGTGTGTGCTGTGTGTGTGAAAGGGTGCTGTGTGTGTGAGGGTGCTGTGTGTAAGGGTGCTGTTAGTGTGTGCATGTGTGAGGGTGTTAGTGTAAGTGTGTTGTTAGTGTGTGCTGTGTGTGTGTGTAAGGGTGCTGTGTGTGCGAGGGTGCTGTGTGTAAGGGTGCTGTTAATGTGTGTATGTGTAAGGGTGATGTGTGTGTAAGGGTGCTGTGTGTGTAAGGGTGTTGTTAGTGTGTGTGTGCTGTGTGTGTAAGGGTGATGTATGTGTGTGTGCTGTATGTTTGTGTGTAATGTGTGGGGGCCATTTAGTTAATGAATGCAAAGTATGCAACAGTTTACTCCCCATATGTAGGGAGGGGGGACCATGCTCCTGCCTTCGCTGGTGGTCCAGTAGAGAGTGAACTCTAGCCCCCTGTGGGGCTAGAGTTCACTCTAGCAAGATCTGAGCGTTGCTGCGGTAACTGCGACAACAATCCGACCGCGCGAGAGGAACCCGGCAGAGCTGCTGGCAAGAGCTCCCCGCGTCCTCTCCTGCCTCCCCCCCTGCCTGTGAGATCTTTGATCTCCCTCACCGGCCCACGGTGCCGCGGGGATTAGGGTGTGCCTAGGCACACCCGGCACACCCCGTGCGCACGCATATGTGGAAAATACAGAAAAGAGGCTGCGCCACACAAAGTAAATATAAATAAATAAATATAATGGGATAACAATAATATATCCCCCAAAAAGTCTTAACTTGACAGTTCTTGCTTTAGATCAAATGGTCTGTAATGTGCTTGGTCAGGGATAATGTCCACGTAGATCTTCCCTGGAAAGATCCAATAATATGTAAAGACAAAAGATAGAAAAAAATAGTGCAATATATCCAATAAGGTAAAATAAAAAATAAAAGGAAGACGGTAATGCACTCACATGAGTAAGAGCTATAGCTAGCTCTAGTATGGACAGCGTACAGCGGTACAATCCCTGCTTATGGGATATGGTGCAGGTGTCTTGCTTCAAAAGGTATGTTCAATACTCAAAGAGAATAAAATAGAGACAACCGATAGTGCTCTCTGAATAAAACAATGGTGTTAAAATATATATAAAAAGGTAATCCCAAGGGTGGGGCAAACGAAATGCCCACTGGTATAAGCGTTGGTGGTTTGATCCCCACCTAGGATTTCTTGGAGTCCACAACAATAAAAATGCCAGGTAGAAATCAAAAGAATTATTATAGAGTGTATAAAAGATGATTGGCACAAATAAAAGTAACCAACAGAGCTTTAATGAGTAAAATGCACAATATAAAATCCACAACCGCGTTTCGCCTAAAAGGCTTTCTCAATATGGAATTAGAACATAATACCTGGCAGGGTAAGTTTAAATAGGGTAAGAATTGATTGAAATTGGCGCCTAAAATCCGGTCAGCCAATTAGAATACAGATAAAAGTAATATTACTAAAACATGTTAATAAGATAAAAATAGCAATAAGATGTGTTATTGTTGTGTCCCTTTTTTTTTTTTGAGCAGTGTATGTATATTTTGCATGATCAGTCATATTTTCAAAATCAATGCCAAAATTTCAAAATTTCTTCCAGGGTATGCAAACTTTTGAGCACAACTGTATCTTCTAGCAGTATGGTAATACTGCCATTAGCAAAGTCTGCAATTGCTTTATATTTGCCAATGTAATACATTACAATTTCAAAACGAGCGTTAATCCGCTAAATAGAAACGTTATAGTGCGGTCACGTGACTATATTCGTGCCGCAATGGGAGTTGGGAAATGTAGTAGGTGTGCGCGCATGTGCGTGCAATAGGGACCGCCGTCGGCACGCATAAGTATTGCGGCCGGCGAGGGGAGGAGGGCGGAAAATTGGGGCTATGGCTGAATAGCCAATAAGGGAGGGGGCGGGCAGGAAAAGCAGAGACATGCCGAACGGCTAGAATAGTGCTCATAGCTGTCGGCAAGATAGGGGGAGGGGCATACCAATAAATGTAAGTGGCATAGGATGAATGCATAAGCTAAAAGATAAATAAATATAAAAACAGAATAAAAGAATACAAAGGGAATTACAGCTTATACAGTAAATACCAATACAAATAAGTAAAATTGTAATGTGTACATTTTCATAAAAAATTAAACAGATCAAATTCTTTTTTTTGTAAATCTTTCTTTTATTATGGCATATGTGTTATGTGGTACAGAATCGAAAAAGGAGATGTTGTGGGGTAACACACGTTAATGATAGCAAGATGGTTTGTAATACCCTCCTAAGAAGAACTGCCATATTTTTTGTTTGTTTAACACCAGTAAACATAGTGATACAGGCTTGGTAATTGAAATAAAATAAAATAAAATAAATGAGTGATGCTTAACAGTTAGCTGAGCAGGTCAAACAATATCCTGATGACATAGCGCACCCTATATCTGTATTAAGCAATTAGTCTAGTCTTTGGTTTGCTTATCCAGTCTAGGGCATGGGAAACAGAGGCAGCGTCATGTGTGTTCAATGGAGCTATACATCGCATAACTGGTACAGGGCACTAAAGTGTCCTGCCCTTTTGATAAACTAGCAAACAGTGCAAGATTTGTCTAACATGTCAGGTGGCATATATGGTAGTCGATATCGATTGTATAAAGCTAGGTCCTAGACATGCTGCTCTAAACGACAATATAGGTTATGAAACATGCTTTCGGTAATGGTTACAGCTCATATTGAGTTATAGTAAACTAGCAGGGCCAACAAAGCTTCCTGGGCTATGGGAATGGTCGCATGGCTAATATTGGTCCCACATGTTAAAGTTAAGGTAGGCTGCCCTTCTATTTAGTGCAACATGCCAATAGAATACAGTACAGTTATAGCGTTGGCTGCAATAAAGGTAACGATTAAAAGGTAGCAATTAAAAGCATAGCGTGTCATCTGGCACAGGTAAGACATAAAGAGATAATGAAGGTGTGGGGAGAGAATTAAACAGTACTGTGTGTCCGTATATCAGTCCCGCTCAGCCCATGCCGGTTCGCGGCAAGTTGTTATCGGGGGTGGAAAGGCAGGTGGTGTCTGAGCGGCCATTGCAGGGTGAGGACCCCCTCCAGCCCCAGGCCGACTTTGAGGGTGGCATCGTCTGACCACTGGCTCGTTGGCTCAGTGAGTTCGAGGCATTCCCATATCGGGTGCAGGTGGAACTGGTTTCCTGTCGCCGCCAGCGGCGGGCATCCCTCCTGCAGGGTGGTCGATGCTGTGGAGGCAGTTTCCTCCTGGCACCCAGCCTGGGCGGGCTGCTTGCTTGCGCGGTTGTCTTGGGGGTAGTTGCTGTGCCCGGAGTGGGGTGCCTCTTTCCTGCGTTCCCCGATCCAGTCTTGCGGCCTGGCTGCCCTTGTGGTGGTGCCATTCTCCACACTCCGTGGGTTCGGTTCAGTCCGCTCGCAGCTGGCTGGGGTTGCTTGTTTGCCATTGGCGCTTGTAGCCTTTGTCCCAGCCTGTACCAGAATCGGGCAAAAGCTGCATCTATGCGCTGTTGAATGTCGCTGTGATCCTCCATCTCAGGTAAGCGTTTTGGTTTGTGTGGTATGCTTGCCGCCGCCATTTTGGGTACGCCATGTGTTTGACTGCCATGGTGTTGCGGTTTATTGATTGATATGGTTTGCTTGTGGTTGCTATTCCAGTCGCCTGGTTTGGACCGTGATGTCCCCCATCGGTCCGGTGGGGGGGGGGATTGTAGGAGATGATCCTTGTCCAGGTCAATCAGCCTGGGGAGCGGCTGTCTCCCCGCTGCCCGATCTCCGGTAGGCCTCAGGGCGTTTAGTCGGGTCTCTGGGGGGTTACAGGCTTGAGTTCCATATCGGGTTATACCCCCGGTTGTCCCCTTCATGCTAGTATCTGTCCAGTGTGCGATTGTGCCGGTTTTTGGGGGGATTATCCCCGAAAAGTGCCGAGTGTAGCGGGAGCTGAGGTTCAGCACAACCGCTCTGTCTGGATGCTAGGCTCCGCCCCCCAACAGATCAAATTCTGCATTCAGACCATGGGGCATAAGTGTCTGAAGCTTATGTACCCATTCCATTTCAGTTTTCCCAATAATGTTTTTAATGTCACCTCCTTTACAGGGAATGGTACATTTTTTTATTCCCATACATTTTAACAATCTTGGGTCATTATTGTGTTTAATAAAATGTTTGGACACTGAATGATTCAGATATAAATTTTTAATGTTTCTGCAATGTTCACTTAGTCTTATTTTTAAGCACCTTGTGGTCATCCCAACATACTGGAGGTCACAAGGGCATTCAAGCAGATAAATACAATTTTTTGTAGTACAGTTAATAAAATCATTAATTTTGTACACCTTTTTCGTTACATTAGAAACAAATTGAGAAACTTTAGATGGTACTGTAGGGTTTGTGGATTTACATACTATACAAGATTTGCATTTACAAAAACCCTTAATTTGGGGAAACAGTGATAAAGATGGTTTGATTTGTGTTTCCCTTGTAAAATTCTTAGTTAAAATTGATATAAAATTAGGGGCTCCTCTAAAAACTATATTGGGATGTTCGGGTAAAATTTAATCATGTCTTTAAATATGCCAATGTCTTTTTATGATTTTCTTAATATTGCCACTTTTATTATTATTATAATTAAAAATAATAGGTAGGGACATAGTACCGTCAGTCTCTTTTGTTTTATATGTCAAGAGTTTGTCTCTATCTTTCTGTTGAATGCTATTGACAGTATCTGTTAAAATTGATTCAGAGTATATTTTTTCAATAAATTTATTTTTTAAGAAATCTGCTTGTTGTTTAAAATCATTTAATTGTGAACAATTTCTCCAAAGTCTTAAAATTTGGCTATTGGGGGCACTGTCGAGCCAGGGTTGATAGTGACAACTGGATTTGTCAATGCCAGAATTTACACAAACTTTCTTAAAAAATTTTTTGAATAAAAATATTGAGATCTAAAAAGTTAATATTCAGCCATAGCCTTATTTTCCGCGTCCTACCCTCGCCGGCCGCAATACTTATGCGTGCCGACGGCTGTCCCTATTGCGCACGCATGCCTACTTCATTTCCCAAATCCCATTGCGGCACGAATATAGTCACGTGACCGCACTATAACGTTTCTATCGAGCGGCTTAACGCTCGTTTTGAAATTTTAATGTATTACATTAGGTCTACTACTCCATCTTATTGCTATTTTTTATCTTATTAACATGTTTTATTAATATTACTTGTATCTGTATTCTAATTGACTGACCAGATTTTAGGTGACAATTTGAATCAATTCTTACCCTATTTAAACTTACCCTTCCAGGTATTATGTTCTAATTCCATACTGAGAAAGCCTTTTAGGCAAAAACGTGTTTGTGGATTTTATATTGTGTATTTTACTCATTAAATCTCTGTTGGTTACTTTTATTTGTGCCAATCATCTTTTATACACTCTATAATAATTCTTTTGATTTTTACCTGGCATTTTTATTGTTGTGGACTCCAAGAAATCCTAGGTGGGGCTCAAACCACCAACGCTTATACCAGTGGGCATTTCGTTTGCCCCACCCTTGTGAGTACCTTTTTATATATTTTAACACCGTTGTTTTATTCAGAGAGCACTATCGGTTGTCTCTATTTTATTCTCTTTGAGTATTGAACATTTTGAGGCAAGACACCTGCACCATATCCCATAAGCGGGGATTGTACCGCTGTACACTGTCCATACTAGAGCTAGCTAGCTCTTACTCATGTGAGTGCATTACCGTCTTCCTTTTATCTTTTATTTTACCTTATTGGATATATTGCACTATTTTGTTCTATCTTTTGCCTTTATATATTATTGGATCTTTCCGGGGAAGATCTACATGGACATTATCCCTGACCAAGCACGTTACAGACCATTTGATCTAAAGCAAGAACTGTCAAGTTAAGACTTTTTTGTGATATATTATTGTTATCCTATTATATTTATTTATTTATTTATATTTATTTTGTGTGGCGCAGCCTCTTTTCTGTATTTTCTTTCCTGTTGTTTTTAAGGGGACTTTGAGGGATTTCCTTTGTGGTTGCTGCCTTACGCATTACTTAGCGCTGACTCTCATTATTGATTTGATCCAACTTTGATGTAATGTCCTTAAAACAATTCAAAATGAGGCTCAGTAGTGTGTGGCCTCCACGTCCCTGTATGACCTCCCTACAATGCCTGTGCATGCTCCTGATGAGGTGGTGGATGGTCTCCTGAGGGATCTCCTCCCAGACCTGGACTAAAGCATCTGCCAACTCCTGGACAGTCTGTGGTGCAACGTGACGTTGGTGGATGGAGCGAGACATGATATCCCAGATGTGCTCAATTGGATTCAGGCCTGGGGAACAGGCGGGCCAGTCCATAGCATCAATGCCTTTGTCTTGCAGGAACTGCTGACACACTCCAGCCACATGAGGTCTTGCATTAGGAGGAACCCAGGGCCAACCGCACCAGCATATGGTCTCACAAGGGGACTGAGGATCTCATCTTGGTACCTAATGGCAGTCAGGCTACCTCTGGCAAGCACATGGAGGACTGTGAGGCCCCCCAAAGAAATGCCACCCCACACCATTACTGACCCACTTTGTGGCCTGCTGGAGGTCATTTTGCAGGGCTCTGGCAGTGCTCCTCCTGTTCCTCCTTGCACAAAGGTAGAGGTAGCGGTCCTGCTGCTGGGTTGTTGCCCTCCTATGACCTCCTCCACGTCTCCTGATGTACTGGCCTGTCTCCTGGTAGCACCTCCATGCTCTGGCCAGTACGCTGACAGACACAGCAAACCTTCTTGCCACAGCTCGCATTGAAGTGCCATCCTGGATGAGCTACACTTCCTGAGCTACTTGTGTGGGTTGTAGACTCCGTCTCATGCTACCACTAGAGTGAAAGCACCGCCAGCATTCAAAAGTGACCAAAACATCAGCCAGGAAGCATAGGAACTGAGAAGTGGTCTGTGGTCACCACCTGCAGAACCACTCCTTTATTGGGGGTGTTTTGCTAATTGCCTATAATTTCCACCTGTTGTCTATCCCATTTGCACAACAGCATGTGAAATTGATTGTCACTCAGTGTTGCTTCCTAAGTGGACAGTTTGATTTCACAGAAGTGTGATTGACTTGGAGTTACATGTGTTGTTTAAGTGTTCCCTTTATTTTTTTTTAAAAGTGTATTTTTTTTATTCAAGGATAGTGATCATATGAAGCCATTTAATTATCACTTAGTTGTTTGGCTCCTTTTTAAATCATAATGATAACAGAAATCACCCAAATTGCCCTGATCAAATGTTTACATCCCCTTAAATGTTTGTCCTTGGTACAAACACAGAAGGTGACACACGCAGGTTAAACTGGCAAATAAATGTTTATTTCCCACACCTGTGACTTTTTAAATTGCCATTAGTGTTTGTGTATAAATAGTCAATGAGTTTGTTAGCTCTCACATGCATGCACTAAGCAGGCTAGATAATGAGCCATGGGGATCAGAAAAGAACTGTAAAAAGACCTGTGTAACAAAGTAATGGAACTTTATAGATATGGAAAAGGATATAAAAAGTTATCGAAATCCTTTAAAATGCCAGTCATTACTGTTTAATCCTTTATAAGAAAATTTAGGGAAATCTTGATGCAAAGCCAAGGTCAGGTAGACCAAGAGAGATTTCAGCCACAATTGGGAGAAGAATTGTTTGGGATACAAAAAAAAAAAACCTGTAGGTAAGCTCAGGATAAATACAGGCTGCTCTCAAAAAAAGCTGGTGTGGTTGTTTCAAGGAGCACAATACGACGACACTTGAACAAAAATGTGCTGCATGGTTGAGTTGTCAGAAAGAAGCCTTTACTGCGCGAATGCCACAAGAAAGCCAGGTTACAATATGCTCAACAACACCTTGACACAGCTCACAGCTTCGGGCACACTGTAATGGGGAGTGACATGAACAAAATAGAGCTTTATAGTGCAGCTATACTACCTGCAAGAATTAGGGGCCTCAGACAACTATTACAAAATACTGTATGCTGTCATTGATGCTTAAAGGGGCAATACACGGTATTAAGAACTAAGGGTATGCAGACTTTTGAACACGGGTCATTTAGTTTTTTTCTTTGTTGCCATGTTTTGTTTTATGCTTGTGCCATTCTTTTATAACCTATAGTTGAATATGAATCCCATAAGAAATAAAATAAATGTGTTTTGCCTGCTCACCCATGTTTTCTTTAACAGTGGTTTAAAGGGTATGCAATTTGAGCATATCTGTAAAATGATATATCATATCTGTATGGGTCCACATTGCAGCTTCCAAGCAACATATTTCCATCACAAACTTAAACACAAGCTTAGACAGCACATGCCAATTCTGCACGCTATAAAGCACTTACCAGCTGATGTGGTTCCCCAGCCCGTGACATGGCATGTTTTCCAAGACTCAGGCTTGTATGTCTCTTGTGGAGGCAAGCAGATGGGCACACTCATTTGGTTGAGACGGAGGGGGGAAGAAAGGAGAAGTAGGGCAATGTCATTATCCCCACTTTTTGTGGAATACAATGGGTGAATGATTATTTTTTTCACATTTACAGACTTCCCCTCACC